AAAAAGAGAGTAAGAAGATGAAAACTGATACGGTTGTCAATTGTCTTACAGATGACTAGGATAAGGATAGATTGGTACTTGAATGCTTGATTGAGTTTTGCTGAGATTCAAATGATTTGTTCTTGCTGTCATTTGAGAAATGGGTTTTGCGAGGAAGAAGATGGTTTTAGGTTAAATTTATAATTTTACTTTTAAAATTATTTGGTTCATGGAGTGTACACCCACTGGTGTCGAACCCGGCGGATACATAAATCATTGTCCTTTTCTAATTTACCAATCCATCCCCAAATTACATAAATCCCTAACCCTAGACATTTAAGGCATACACCACATCCATGGCTATGACTGTCTTGCGGTGAGCATGCTCAGCATAAGTGATGGGCTGCGAATTACATTTCTTTAAGAAGAACTTGAGGACGCCGCGAATCTCTTTTTAGATGAGGCCGCTAATACCCTTGACTCCTCTAGACCTAGACAGATGCATGATCACTAGCTTCATGAAGCACCTTCCTATGACGCTTCGCTCCTCCCTTTCCTCTTCTAGACATCTTGCCTTCTTTAACCTTTTGTTTCCTCACTACTTCAATTCTGTGGTTTACCCAAAAGTGCAGATTTGATTTCCTTCTCCCCTGCATAATATCGACAGCCCCCAAATTTGGCTTTACATGTTCTATTGACCTGGTTCTTACAAATTCTTGCTCCTTGAGTTCTCCAAAAGAGGTGGATGAAAGGAGGGATGAGATCACATAAACGGAAGGAGGAGGATGAAGAATTGAATCTGGGAGGGCAGAAGTTTAAATGATTAACGAGGAAGGCCGAGGAACGGAGGAGAGGAGGAAATAATTCATTTAATTAAAATTAACTTTATTAAACAAGGTGGTCCTCTGCCCTGATAGTTGGGTCGAGTGATTTTTGTCACATTATTAAGATGTAATTCTCTCTATATTTGAGGTTGGGTTCAAACCCCATAATACTTGGTTAAAAAATTAGAAAAAACAGAAGAAGATGGTCCCATGTTGCAGTGCTTTTAATTTTTTAAATATGAAAATTTTAAGTGGATCCCATGTAATAAAAATAATTTGCCACATCATCAAAACACAATTTTTTTTTCGCATAATTTTTTGAATTTCAAGAGTTCAAATTTATGGCTAGCTAATGTGCCACCTAGGCACTTCGGTTGACAAAAGAAAAGTGTTTATGGGCCATATTTCCTAAAATTAAAAGGGAAAATATTTACAATTATATTATTTTAATAAATTTTTATTGAAAAGATTAAAATAACATTTTAAAAAAAAGTTAGTAAGATAGTTTTGGATTTTTTTATATTATTTTGTTGAAATAATATGGTTTTGAAAAAAAAATTTCTTTTAAATTTTTAAAAATTTGGTTGATAAATACTACATAAGTAATCTCTAATAAAAAATTTTAATAGGTGTTTTTAGACATATTAATATTTTTATTATCTAAGACAACAATATTATAGTTATAATGTTATGTAAAATTATAAATTTATAGTTCTATTGTGACATTAAATAAGTATAATATATTATTAAATAAGTAAATACAATACTATAAGTGGATTATTGAATAAAAAAACTAATCATATAACAACAATCATATTATATACTTATAATATCACATGATATTATAATTATAATATTTTTATATCTAAACTTATGGTAGCTATATATGTACATTTTTTTTTTTCATGAGTTTAAGGTAGATCCATTTTGTATACCGTTCCTAATAAGTACTGATTAATTGCTTTTCAAAAAAAAAAAAAAATGAGTACTGATTAATTATACTAATTGGAAGAGATTGGAGTTAAATCCTGTGAAATGCTTTCGGAAACAAAAAGTGCAGCCACCATTTCATGACTGGATTAGGATGAGGTCTATTTTGTACCTTCCTAGGCTGTATAGTCTATGAGAATAATTTGTAAATGATGTTGAGCACATCTTGTGCTCAATTAATAATATAATTCTCTTTACCTTTCAAAATAAATATTACATTGATTGAGGGAAAATGCCAACCAGTAGAGTTTCTGAAATAATTAAGGTTAAAAACCCCTACGAAATTACCTCCCATAGAGAGAAGAAAAGAATAGCCACAGGGGGAGAAGAAGCAGCGAGGCAAACGCAAGTCTCTCCCTCTTCCCTCTCTTTTATTTATTTATTATTATTTTTTTTTTGGTCAATTTTGGTTGGAAGTTTGTTCATATTTGGTTAGACTTAGAGCTTCTCTTTATTGCACGTTCTAATAAATTTTGCTTTTCTAAAACAAAAAAAAGAAGTTTCTATACCTCTTCTAACGAAAGAGAAGGTTTATGCAGATATGTTAGATCCAATTTGTTCCAATGAAAATTTTTATGTGCTACTAGCGTCTAAGAAACTTTAGTTTGTAGGAGTAATTTTGGATGACAAACTTAAAATGTTAAAAACAACTCGAGAATGCTATAAATTAATTTGTATAAATTTTCAAGTGACAAGTGACAAGTTTTATTATTTCTCTATTGTTTTTATTTTACGTTTCTTTTCCTTGGTACGGTTTGTATTTTACTTTTATGCTATTTTTATTTTTAATGAGCGCCTTATAATTTGCTTTTATCTCTTTTGACAAGGGACATGCATTAAGTTTTTCTTAGCCTATCAAAGTTAAGTAAAATTGGAACAGATTACAGTATATGGGCAATGGTTATAGTGACACTTGAACAGGGTTACACAAATC